CTACTTACGTAGCATGCATCTTCCACACTGATTTTTGATTGTCTTATAAATTCAAATATATTTTATAAAAAGCATGAACAAACATATTCATTCCTTCACCCTTTTGATGGAGAATCATGTAAATTTCATTATTTTTACTCAAAGAAGGATCATAATTAGGTTTCACAACAAGTTTCTGATTATGAGATTTTTTGAGTCTCTGTAATGTCTATTCATGCAGCATCGTACCTGTCCGCTCGCCTTTGCCCCTCATGAAATGTACAACATAGTCCGTATACATCGCAAAATTTTATGGACTCAATATGGTATCTTTTTAAAGATATAGAAGAATATACGATTTTCCCTACGCGGAACTCATGCACCTCGTAGACTGAAAGCACCAGGCGCCAAATTATTCGGCGATTATAAAACTTTTTAAAAACCTAATTATACTCCTTCTTTAAGTATAAATGATGAAGTTCACATGATTCTCCATCAAATGAGAAAAATAAGGAATAGTTTTGTTCATGTGTTGTTTTAATTCATAAGGCCATCAAAAATCAGAGTGAAAAATGCATGCTACTTAAGTAGTCATTTTTACCGAAGCATGATTTCTACAGGAGATTGAAAATATGGGTAGTCAAAAGCTGATATCCTGCCAAGTCCGAACTATGATAGGATTATGCCGAAAGGTAATCGGTATTACAACCGCGCCTAAGTAATCCTTCCTAGTCGAAAACACAGTTCAGAATTTTGGCCAACATTTCATGAGATGGGTCACTCACTGTACACATTTACTTGTTGGTCGGTATGACTGGTTTTGATCGGCCGGAACATGCTAATTTACTAAGGTGTCCACCGTGGGCGTTGTAAAAAGATTACTGACGTAGACGATTCCGTATCGAACTAGGACTAGGAATGCAGATGCCCGGGCCTGTCATTCAAGGTTACCCCGAGGCCAACAACGCTATCCAACTGTAAGAAATCCTTCTAAGACCTTTTACAATGCCTTTAGTCTGACCTTTGTGGCGGTCAAGGATGTGAGATCGACTTAAACCACGCACAATAAGTTCGTTTCGTCTACTGTCAGAAGTCAGGGAGCTGTGAGGACTACTTTATTCTGTACACAGGGCAGGTTGCCGTAAGTTGGCGGTTTGCTTGCAACAGAGAAAAGCGTCCGTTCGCGGAGAGCGTCAGTCGCGGTGTGTGTTGTTTACGCGGGTGTGTGTCTAGGTCAGCAGGAAGGGGGGAATGACTGTCTGAGTGGTAGTCGTGTGATTGGACAAATTAGGGGAGGAATGGAGGGCGCATACTCACAAGGCATCACGGGAATCAAGCCAACGCGTTCGACGCGGGTTAGGTGATACTAGTTTGTGAGTGCAGCCGGGGGTTTCTGCAGCTGGACCGGAGGTGTCCCAGTTCTAGCCGGCGGGGGTGGTCGTGTGTCAGCGGCCTGTCAGTGCTTATGGCGGCCATCGACCGACAAAACGGAGCCGGAGAAAAAGGGGAACTGAAGCAGCTGCTACACCTTTTTGTATGTTGCGTTTTCTTGAACTGGTGGTCTTCTTCAGTCCTCTTCTCTATGATTAAAATAGTGAGCTTTCCAATAAAATTTCTCCCCTGTTGTTTTTCCCAATAACAGGGAGCAATTATCTCCTCAGTTCCGCTTACTGCATTTTAAACAAGAAATTAACTTTCAGCTTTTTAATCACCTCAGAAATTAATTGCTAATCTCGAGTAGTTCAAGCAGACCTGAGCCTTATAGTCTCAGTCCGAGGGTTGTTGTGAAAATTTTGGCTGAAATCCATCAGCTACGGCGGAATAACCGCGTACTATTCATAAACTGCAAACAGGCAGCTAGTAGTGTACAAATAGTAAATGATTTATCATACTGAGAGTGAGATGTCTTGCCACAAACCAGTTCGCACGTAGGTCACCAAAGCGTCCTCCCTATGTGGAGGACTAGGAGGTACGGCCTTGCGAATATGCCTGCCAGAGAATCCTTTTTCTCGGATGTATAAAACGGAATTCCGCCTACATAGGAAGCTAAAATAATCGAGTAATCGTCGAGGCTTGGTCCTGAAGCCTCACTTGATTGATGCATGTGGGTAGCTTCCTAATACAATTTTAGTTAACATATCTAACTCAGTCATTCGATGGATTAGGAAGCGAAAGAGAGCGCAAGCAGAGCTCGAAGCACGCGCAGGGAAGCGCGTGTGAACCGATGCTTTGTGTAACCGAAGGTGGCGTGTGCACACTCTCCCCACGACATAGCCACTCTCTGGATTAAGAGGATATGGATGGCGCAATCACAACTGAAAGGCCACGGAGTGAACTGCGCGCTAATTCGCAGTGCATAGCCACTATAGTGGAACCGACGGAGTTCCACTACGTCCGACCAATGTTATCAGCAAACCTACTTAGCCATTTGCTGGATTAAGATAATACAGAGGATTCCAGCAGTGCCCGAAGTCCGTGCAGGGAAGCGCATGTGTAAATGAGGATAGCGTATAAGCATTCCCCGAGGCGAAGACACTCGGTGGATTAAAAAATTACCGAAGGCACAAACACCCGATGTATGTAAAGTCAGCATAATTGCAATAACTTACATTTTTTACGAGGCTGACCATATGGTATGAATCAGGTGGGGCTGCAGGACCAAAGCTCGCCAAGTAATCATCTAAGAACCCGAACTATTCGAAACGAAATCGTACTCCTGATTTAACTGTTGGGCCCCCAAACCGAAGATCCGACCTGTAAACACAAGTCAGGCCTTGGCTTTCCCGTGGGGTTCTTATTGCCATTCTTGTGCATGCCTCGGTGCGCGCGTATTGACCGGCTGCACGCGTGTGAGGCGCATCCGAGATTCTAGAATAGTCGTCCAACTCCTGATCGGCCGTCAAGTTATGCCCTGTGTTGACTTCTGGTTGGATGGTGTGCTTCCCAATCATGTAGCACGCATTGTCTGTTTTCCAGCGCGGACTTACCTCGATCTCACCTACGGTCGTTAACCGTAAGAAAAACGAATAGAAGTAATAATTGCCCGGCAGAAATTTGAACAAGGAAAAGGCGACGAAACATGCAGCATCTATTGACGTCATAAAACTTCGTGACCTCTTATTCAACTGCACACGGTCAGTGCGTATTTATAAGGTAAGCTTTTCAATCAGAGATCGGCCAGAGGGATGAAATATGATAAATAAATAAAACATCGATTGTTGGTCTGATATACGGGTGCACATGGCGAGGGGGAAGGGGGAGGGAAGTTATCTAAGTTAGCGAGCTTACATTAGGATGAAAACCTGTCAGGCGTGATTAAAATACCCTACAACGTGATTTAAATAATGAGTGGTTTGACTAAAAATCAAACGTCTGAATGACAGCATGGCAAGGGAGATAAGTCCGTGATATCACTGAAACCAGCGACTTTTAGGCTGAGTTGAGTGGAAAATGAGTTTTGTAGAATTGCACCAAGGCATTTAATATTGTAGAAATAAATCGTCCATAATTTACCTCCCAAACGCTCGAATTATAATGGTGAAGAATATAGAATTATTGGCAAATTCGCCGGCCGTCTACGAAGAAGTGTGAAATAAGGGAAACAGGGTCTAATGAACTTTTAGTGAAATCCTCTATCAGTAACAGACTGTTATCTATCTTGCGATAATGAGGAATTCTGGATTTTGCAACTAACATTACCTAAAAACTGCAATGATTACTCGGAGAGATTTTATTCCAGGGTGATTTGGGGAAAACGGGAAAAGAGGTCTGAGGAGAATGAATTGCTCACCGGATCGGGGGACTTTTCTGGCTGACGTTTCGAAGAGCTGGGGCTGCTCTCCATTGTCAAAGCGTCAAGTGAAGAAATCGATCAGCATTTTTGAATAGACTGCCGCATTAGTTGGCCCTGGGCTGATCGATTTTTTTCTTCCTTCTCTGCCTCGGCCTACTGGCCGTCGCCTGTTAATGTTTGTGGCCTCCTGTACTACGTGTCGTCACCTCAATTGGGGTTGGTTGCGTTTGCTTTCCCCTTTTGGGTGAAGTAGTCGACAGGCCGTGTTTGCTCGGCATTCTTAGGCTCCGTGTGATTGTCTTGTCTTCGTCACGGTGTATGAAGTGACGTAGGACTTTATAGGCCGAAGGAAGGTCTAGATGCCTGTTGATGGAGTTGGCATCTGAGTACCAAGCCTCAAGAGTGAGACGCTCAGTCTTTGAGGTGCCCCTGCCTATGACGGCTGCTCCTTGAAAATCAAAACTGTGACCAGCTTCTCCGATGTGAGCCGCAAGCTGTGAGTTTGGGTCTAGTCTCCGTGTTGCCAGTTTGTGCTCATGTAGGCGGGTCTGCAATTTCCGTCCGGTTTCCCCAACGTAGTTGCAGTCTCCATCCTTACAACGTATTTGATAGACAACTGCTGAGGTTTCAGTGGGTGGCAGTATGTCTTTGGGTTGCATCAAACGGCGACGAATTGTTGCCTGGGATCGATGGGCAATACCTACCCTGGCGGGTTGTAGCAGTCTTGAAACCGCTTCGGAGACTCCTTTAATGTAAGGAATAGCCCTCCAGACTTCGGGTTGTTCTTCTTGTGGCCGTCGTCTGTTCACTCGGCGCTTGCTTTGCTTGATGAAGTGGCTTGGGTATCCATTGGTTTGAAAGAGATCATGAAGATATTGTCGTTCAACTCTTTTGTCGGCTGGTGTGCTGCAGTGTGTTTCAACTCTTTGGAACAGAGTACGGACACAGCTGCGTTTGTGAGAGAGGGGGTGATTGCTGTTGAAGTGCAGTATTTGTCTTGTGTTGGTGGCTTTTCTGAAAACGGTAGTTTGTAATTCTCCAGTTGCACACCGACGCACAAGGACATCGAGGAAGGGAAGTTGGTTGTTTGTTTCGGCCACAAACATTTTCAGGCGACGTCCAGTAGGCCGAGGCAGAGAAGGAAGAAAAAAATCGATCAGCCCAGGGCCAACTAATGCGGCAGTCTATTCAAAAATGCTGATCGATTTCTTCACTTGACGCTTTGACAATGGAGAGCAGCCCCAGCTCTTCGAAACGTCAGCCAGAAAAGTCCCCGGATCCGGTGAGCAATTCATTCTCCTCAGATTACCGACCCGGATCTCTTACTTTTTCTAACCTGAGCTCAAGTGTTGAGCCCTCAGTGCTCCGTGCAGCGCGCCGTTGGGAGAAATTCGCCCTACGGACCGCGTCAACACAAGCGCAATTGCACTTTCTTCATCGCTGCCTTGACCAACAATTGACTCCAAAATGTGTCATCTATAAGCCGCCTGTGAATTCAACCTTGGCAAGGGAGACTTTGGCGCGACACGGCAGAAGAATGACTAGAGTACTTATACATGATTGCCATCAAAGACTGCAACGTTACAGCCTAGAAATTGCTCAATCTAAATCATATTTCGAGGCAACTACTGGTGAAGCATCGAAGGACATTGAGGAAACCATTCTCAATCATGTTCGAAAGGTACGAGCCAAAAAGAACAAAGAATTATCAGTAAAATTGGCCAAACTGAGACCAGTTCGCTCAGATCACTCGTCGGGCGACCTTGTCCACAACCTTTCTTCTAAATCCCTCACCAGCACACAACTTGCAGTCCTGGGACGTGGAGCCACTTTCAACACAGCAGACGCTGCACCCCCAGAGTTCATTGCCGCTTTTGAATCTGTTCTTCAGCTAACACAAACGTCAGAAGAGACGAAGGAGTTGATCCGTCACAAAACCTCCTCTTTGTTAATGCAACATAAGAAGAGCGAAACTCTTAGTAAGGCAGAACAGCAAGCATTAAAAAGCCTAAAAGCGGATAAAGACATAATCATCCTGCCGGCTGACAAAGGCCGTTCCACAGTAGTGCTTGACAAATCCGATTACCAGAAGAAAGCTTTGAGTCTACTCGACGACACACAGTCCTATAAACTTTGTCCAGCAAGTGAGATGAAAAATCTGCTTACTCAAATAAACAAAAGCCTGGCAAAACTCAGAGCGAATGGAGCAATCACAGCTAAAGATTGGTTTCTTATGAAACCCTCTGACTCTGCCGCCGCGCGGTTTTATGGTCTTCCGAAGGTACACAAAGCTAACATACCTCTTAGACCCATCGTCTCCCTACGTGGTACTCCTACATACGGTTTGGCAAAATGGATGTTTGCTCGTCTTAAGTTCCTGGCAGAAGGATCGCCAACAACAGTCGTCTCTGCTAATCAGTTCCTTGAACGTTTAAAACATCTGAAACTAGAGCCAGATGAATCCATGGTATCGTTTGATGTCGTTTCACTCTTTACCTCCATTCCACAACAACTAGCGATTGACGTTGTGAGACAACTCCTGGCTGACCGCTACAACGAGAGAGACAATCCCCTGAAGACCGAACATCTCGTGGAGCTCTTACGCTATTGCCTAAAAACATATTTCACCTTTGGTGGACAAATGTATGAACAAATCAAAGGCACCCCTATGGGCTCCCCCATATCAGGGCTGATTGCTGAAGTGGTTCTTCAACGGATAGAACACTTGGTGTTCACCAAGTATCAACCAAAGTTCTGGGCTCGTTACGTCGATGACACCTTCGCCATTGTCAAATCATCTGACGTGGAGCACCTTAAAGAATTACTGAACTCGGTTGATCAGAATATCCAATTCACGATGGAAGCCGAAACAAACAACCAACTTCCCTTCCTCGATGTCCTTGTGCGTCGGTGTGCAACTGGAGAATTACAAACTACCGTTTTCAGAAAAGCCACCAACACAAGACAAATACTGCACTTCAACAGCAATCACCCCCTCTCTCACAAACGCAGCTGTGTCCGTACTCTGTTCCAAAGAGTTGAAACACACTGCAGCACACCAGCCGACAAAAGAGTTGAACGACAATATCTTCATGATCTCTTTCAAACCAATGGATACCCAAGCCACTTCATCAAGCAAAGCAAGCGCCGAGTGAACAGACGACGGCCACAAGAAGAACAACCCGAAGTCTGGAGGGCTATTCCTTACATTAAAGGAGTCTCCGAAGCGGTTTCAAGACTGCTACAACCCGCCAGGGTAGGTATTGCCCATCGATCCCAGGCAACAATTCGTCGCCGTTTGATGCAACCCAAAGACATACTGCCACCCACTGAAACCTCAGCAGTTGTCTATCAAATACGTTGTAAGGATGGAGACTGCAACTACGTTGGGGAAACCGGACGGAAATTGCAGACCCGCCTACATGAGCACAAACTGGCAACACGGAGACTAGACCCAAACTCACAGCTTGCGGCTCACATCGGAGAAGCTGGTCACAGTTTTGATTTTCAAGGAGCAGCCGTCATAGGCAGGGGCACCTCAAAGACTGAGCGTCTCACTCTTGAGGCTTGGTACTCAGATGCCAACTCCATCAACAGGCATCTAGACCTTCCTTCGGCCTATAAAGTCCTACGTCACTTCATACACCGTGACGAAGACAAGACAATCACACGGAGCCTAAGAATGCCGAGCAAACACGGCCTGTCGACCACTTCACCCAAAAGGGGAAAGCAAACGCAACCAACCCCAATTGAGGTGACGACACGTAGTACAGGAGGCCACAAACATTAACAGGCGACGGCCAGTAGGCCGAGGCAGAGAAGGAAGAAAAAAATCGATCAGCCCAGGGCCAACTAATGCGGCAGTCTATTCAAAAATGCTGATCGATTTCTTCACTTGACGCTTTGACAATGGAGAGCAGCCCCAGCTCTTCGAAACGTCAGCCAGAAAAGTCCCCCGATCCGGTGAGCAATTCATTCTCCTCAGATTACCGACCCGGATCTCTTACTTTTGCTAACCTGAGGGAAAAGAGGTCTTTTATTTTGAGGTCACCAAAATGTTCAAAAGACCGCTTGCGATTCCTAAAAGAACGAAATTAGAGAGGATGATACTTCTCTGCTAACACTGCTAAATGTCCTTTAAGGGAACCAGTAGATGTTTGTTATAAAACACTCGTCCGTTACCAACTTGGATCCCTAAGAGCGATTTCAAGGAGAACACGGCAAGATGATTCGTACTAACTCCAAAACCAAAGCTACTAGAACACTACTTCTTATTTTTTTCGGACTTTTCTTGTGCGAGCCAAAAAGGCGAAAAAAGGGCAGGGAAATCCAGAGACCTATAATATAGGCGCATTAAAATCAAAGAAGGGAATGAAAAAATCAACTTATCGTAGGCAATAATTCGTGAGTAATCGATTTGCATTGATGCAAGTTAAGTAAACGATTCACTGAAATCTACGAGCTTCTACTACCAGGTGAAGAGCTTCCGTATTATTTCCGGAGGACATACGTATTCTGTATATGCCTAGGGAATTAGAACTTAAGATTTAAAATAAGTGGAAAATCTCAGAAACCCTGTGATGGTACAATCAGGTGTATAATAATTGGTCGAGAACTTGGACGAGATCGAAATACATTCGATCTAAGCGCCGATCCTGTGCCTGTGGCAGGTGGTGGGAGCGGGGTTTGTGTGTGACGTAAATGTTAATGATGAGGCGTGCAGTAATAGGGCTTGGCCTGCAATTTTTTACAGCAGGTTAGCGTGGAGGTCCATGCGGTGATCGAATGTGTGCGGGCAGCCCAAACAGTCGAGTCGGACACGGTAAATGCACGTTGGCGCTCCAGACAATGGTTTGCCGGTTTCAGTGCGACAGATTCGCAAGCGGCCAACCATTCGATGCATGGTGTTCACATGAGGTGACAGTATGAGCGAGATAGGCTGGTATCTTTTGAGTTTTTGACAATGTCGCTAGTGCTTCTGGCGACCACGTTGGTGAATGAGACGTTGGCAGAGCTGGATGCGAGAGAGTTGCCGGATGTGCACGGTGGGTTTTGGCATATCAGTTTTGCAATGACTTCCACTGCCATGGATACGCATGCGACCAAGTAGGCCCATGCGGTTAATGGATGTTCGCGAGCAATGTGGACAGTTTGGGATCAAATTCATATGGCTGGTGATGGAGGTGATGGTGGTGAGAGTGGTGGCTTTGTTTATTATTTGGTAAGGATAATAGGCAAAGCCCTTGAAAACCCCACTGACTATATGTTAGCTCGTTAGAAATAACTGCAAACGAACGATGAAAATATTCGCCATTAAAACAGTACGTGATTCATTTGGGTAGCATTGTCTCAGAGAAAAATTTTCCGGGGGTCGATGCGTATTTAGCTCAGGTTCAGACTGTCCAGGGACACAAATAATCACCCAAGCGTTTCTTGAAGAGTCGCAGAGACGTCGCCTCCTCGACTGATTGAGGGAGATCGTTCCATTTCTCCACTACTCTTTGGATGAAAAATTCAGAACGAAGACTCAGCCTGGACATTGTTGTCCGTAGCTCCATCGAGTGACCATCGGTGCCACTGAAACATGTCCTCAAAGCTAAGTCCATGCCCAAGACCATGTATTATCTTGTAGACAATAATAATATCACCTCTTTGCTGCCTGCAAAACAGCGGGGGTAAATTAAGGCAATTCAGTCTGTCTGTGTATGATTGGCTTTTTAAACCGTTTATCAGCTTTGTTGCACGACGTTGTACTCTTTCAATGCATGCTTGATCCTTTGCTAGCCATGGCCGCCAAGTTTGTATGCTGTATTCTAAATGGGTCCGAACAAAGGTGCTGTAAACTTTTCCAAAAAGGACTTTTTCAAAGGTTACGAAGGCCCTTTTGATTGCCTGCAGCACTACCATGGCGTTTTTGCAGCTTTCCTGCACTGCAGTGCTGATCTCATGTCGCTCTGTATCCAAACACCGAGATCCTTCGGTGAAGACTCTGCAGGTTGTCATATCTTTCGTATGATATGTTCTCAGGCTCTCATTTGAATGAGAGTTGTTTGGACGCAGATGAAGGACGGCACACTTCTCCACATTGAAATCAGGAAGCCATTTCTCCGACCGCGGTTGCAGTCGGTGCAGATTATCTTGAAGGGATCTCTGATCATTCGGTCCCTTAATGACTTGCCAGAGCTTAACATCGTCTGCAAACATTATTTTGCCGCAGTTGAGTTCCTGAAGGCTGTCATTAACATAAAGGATGAAGAGCAATGGTCCCAGAACTGAGCCTTGAGGCACTCACTGGTCACATTCACCCATTCTGACATATCGTATCCGATACAGACACGTTGTTGCCGACCAACCAGAACATCCTTATCCAGTTCAGAATATCTCCCCGGATGCCGATGGAGCTCAATTAGTGAAGAAGGCATTGGTGCGGAAGAGTATCGAAAGCTTTGCGGAAATCAATGTACACGAAATCTACCCCAAAACCTTCCTCTAAATCCCTGGTCCAGATCACCAGACAAGCTCGCAGATTTGAGATGCAGAAACGTCCTCTCCGAAAGCCATGTTAAAAATCCTGTGAGATGCTATTTTGTTCACAAAATTGCTGTATGGCACTCTTTACTAGAGCTTCCATCGTTTTACTTGAAAGACAAGGTAAGCTAATAGGCCTGAAGCTGCTTGCTGCCATCCTGCCACCTCCCTTATGTAAAGGAACGAGGTTAGCTAACTTAGCAGCCTTCCTGTTCTCGTTGACATCTCAAAGAGAGTCGAAAGAGGCTTTGACAGCTCCGTTGATAGCTTCTTAAGTATCAGCCCAGGAATTCCGTTGGGTCCAGGAGACTTATCTGGTTTTATTTGACTGAGGACACGACTTACTTCTTCGACGGAAAAGGTAACGGTTTCAATTACGGCGGTGTATCGGTACATTTGAAGCTCCGGGCTGTCTCGGTCCATTTCAAACTGCTGATTGCCTTCTGAGGACTTTTTCGTAATAACCGATTGAAAAAACTGAGATAGTCATTGCACCCTCTGTGGCCCGCCAACTAACAAGTTTCCGAGGCTCTCTTTTAGACATGCAATTTCGTCCCAATGTTTTCTCCTAATGCGGATATACCCATAAAACTTCCTGGGACACTAATGGATTCTGCTATCAGTGGGTGCTCGAAGGAAGTTTCAGCAACGCCTATTTGTTTGTGGCAGTAATTGCGCTGCTCCTTATATTCGGCGAATATCATTGGATCTTGAAGTTTCAAATACTTTTTCCACATCCTCTCTTTCTTCTTCGTGGTCTTTTTTGTGGGTGAGAGCAAATATGCGAATCCCAGGCTTTTTGTCATCGGAGTGACCCACGGCGGTCGCGCACATGGTCTTTATGTTTTTGTTGGACAATGGGTGTCAATTAGACGCTCTATAATTCCGCAAAATTACAGCCACAATGATTCTGAATCTTCCTTGTTGAGTGATCAGGTTTCCTTCAAAAAACACGTCTCATTACGTTAAAGTCACCTTTCCAAATATTGCTGCGCCTCTATATTTTTGGTTGTTGGATCGATAGGAGAGAGCACACGCGGGTAAAAGCAATATGATCGCTTTGACCGAGTGGAGGTTGTGTATTCATTTCCCTTAGGACTCCGTCTTCTTTACTGAATACGAGATCTAAACAGTTAGATCGTTGTCCTTCTCTTAGTCTTGTTCCGAATGTTACGTGTTAAATGAGGTATTCGTTCAGGGAGAGTTGTAGTAGCTTGTGGTCAAATGAAATGGACGGATGTTTGTTAAGGGAATTTCCCAGTCTATTCCTGGAGCGTTAAAGTCACCCAGAAGTAGTAAGCTCCCCTGCTTACATAACAACTCCAGCGCACTAATTAATTCCATATTGACGATTTCATTCGAGCTGGGAGGCCGATAGACAACACTCAGGATAAGTGTCGGTAATTGTTTGATACATACATACATGAAATTATTCCAAAGTTTCGCGGTGCCGTATCGGATATTTCTCACTGAGAGCACGGAATTTCATTTGACACATAAATCGCTGTGCCTTCTCCTCTACGTTGAAATCTGTCACAACGGGACCCTTGGTAGTCTCCAGCAAATGTGAAGAAATTACAGCATTAAGTGTATGCAGACATTGACTCACATGTGTCACTGGTCTCATGGCTAAAAAGTCACATAGGCGGCTTGTTGCTGCAGTATATATCTGTCAAGCCGACATTTAAATGTCTCCACAGATTGAGACATGACAATCGTCTCGGGCAGGTTATTCCACGGTCCCACGACACGGTTGGAGAAGAAATACTTTCTAACATTCAGTATACCCTGGGACACACGTACATTGAAGGGGTGTCCCCGAAGTTAAGTTGTAGTGGCGAGTTGGAAAAAGTCGTCGCACCGTAGGGCGCGGTTCAAGCAACGCACGATACGGAAAGTTTGTATCAACTCTCCGCGCAACTGCCTATAACTCAGAGGATAGAGATTAAGGTTAGTTAAGCGGATCTCCTATGGCAGTGCACTTTGACCTCTTATTAATTTTGTTGCTCGCCTCTGCACCCTTTCGAGCAGATTGTAATCCTGCTGCGTCCACGGTCTCCAGGGCTGAATTGCATATCCGAGATTCGGCCTTACAAACGTGCCGAAGACTTTGGAGAAGCAGTCTTCATCGAAAACTGCGAATGCCCGTTTGATGGCATATAGCATTGAAGTTGCAGTCTTGGCCGCCTTACAACATCGTGTAGAAGGCATTAGGCTGTCTGCAACCCAGGCTCCGAGATCCTTCTTTGTTTCTGCTTCTCG